ATAATAATAATAATAATAATAATAATAATAATAATAATAATAATAAATTAATGATTAAAAAAAGAAATTGCATGAGGTGAAATATATCTCATTGAGAAGATAACCAAAAGCTCAGATTTTAAAATTAACAAAAAAGTGGGACCAGCAGTTTGTGTAATGGCTGTGACGCTGGACTCCCATGTAGTCAACCATGATTCAAGTACTGGACTCAGTGGCTTAAACTCATGCAGGGAGCATGTGCATGCGTGCCCAAGATCCCAAGAGGAGGATAATGGAGGAGAAGGGATTGCGGCGTGGCCATCCCCCCCAGGGGGTGATTTCTCGCTTTCTGTCTCTCTGTCTCTCTCTTTCTGGTGAGCATGCGTGCCCTATAGCAAAAACCTCTCCAAAAAAAAGATACTCCTATATTCCTATATGGAAAGCATCCTTGTATAAATTATTTTCATCACTATTTCACTACTACGAAACTTAAGAAAAACAGAAAAAATATAGGGAGGGGTATATTCGTGTATGTCTTAGGACCGTGTCTGCTTTCTAATGTACACCGAGTTTTCATGCCTGAGATGTTCTGGTACTTACTGCATTCACAGAGCCTCTAAAGCCAATGGAATACTCACGTTGTTGGATCGCAGAGACACGCGGCCTCCACAGCGGGCACAGAACTTGGTGCGACAGTAGGAGCAGAGATGGCCACACCCATCGGCAAACTTCGTTTTGTGGCATATTCCGCAAGTTGGAGCATCGTCTTTGTGCTCACCCTGGTAACGCCGTGCTTCTTCCCCGATTTTTCTCACTTGTTCCTTATAGCTTTCAAACTGCTGATGCAATCTCCTGGGTAAAAGAGAAAACAATAGCAAACTAAATAAACAATGGAAGACAAGCACAAATACAAACACTTTTTCCAAATGAAATGGAAATGCAGCTGTTCGAATTAAATCAAAACATACAATGCTATGTTCCCCCCAGTCTTACCTCCACAGGTAAGAAAAGTATTAGTATGTATCCCACTAGTCCATTTTGTTTATTACCACAGGCCCATATATAAATAGAATATATACAAGCACCATTTGTTTCCCGCACTGAAATTTTGTATTCACTCTCCTTCTAGACCACTGCCTTTCAAATTTTATCAACTAGGAGCTCGACACTTTACCACTATACCCATGTAAGCTTATCTAACTGAAGTAAAAATGACATAAACCATGTAACTATATAGAATTTGCTCTGATATTTTCTATTTTATTCCAAGTTTAAGATTAAACAGAATTCGAAAATGTTTGTCATTATAAATTGATTTTATGGCCTTCTATTTGACCATGATGTATACTTGGAACAATAACATTTTAAACTACATTGCTAGATAATCTGCTTTCTACTCACTATCTTTGTTTACTCCCATTCCTAAAGACTATTAGTACTTACCTATTTGGCAACATACCTGATTAATTCGGGGTACAGAATGTTAGCTTATATATTACATTCGAGCTCGCAAATCTCCATGACACATTAAAAGTTCTAAACCATGCCTTGTAAGTATTCAGATTTTTACATATCCCAGTTTTTCTTGATCTCAGTGAAGTTATATACATAAGAGTTACTACAACTCAATATTAACTATTGATGATGGGATAACCAATGTCAATGCAATCATTTTCCTTAAGAATGTTCACATTCAATATGATTCAAGCCTCCTCCCTTCTCCATCAGCTCAAATCTCTCAAGCTTAAATTGCTACAAATAGAACTGTTTGCTGTTCTGTATACAGAACTATGACATCCCATGAATCCCCCAGTGAAAGGATGTCTTGGTTTTGTAAATGAGAACTGAGATAGTTGTTCTAATTCTAACCAATAGTCAGTGCTATTTTTTCCAAAAGAGAAACCCTTGGGAAATGGCTGATCAAATTCAACTGTGTATCTAAGCTAGTTTGCTGGATGTGAGTATTCCCTGGGACACAGAGTACACAGATGCTGTTGTGAATTCAGGCAGTTAGCTTGATACTATCCATCTAAGATAACTATGGGGAACTAGTACTCCCTGGAAATAGAATCAAATAAGAAGAGCAAAGCACTTTAGTCTTTGAGGTATTGGGACTTCATTATATTTTCTTTTTAACATCTAATAGCTCTTGAGAAGAACTTAAGTAATTACTTTTAAAATTCTCAATTCCCCTTTCTCTTTGCCAACCGGAAGTTCTTCTCTTTAATTCCCCAAATTAAAACACCCATACTTGCACATAATGTAGTTTAGGATTTGAAAAGCTTCCCAGTTAAAAGGCTAGCTAATTTTAACTCAGAAAAGAATGTGTGTAATATTTTACTTAATGTATACAGGAGTATCTAGCCAATTTACAGAATAGTTATTTGACACGTTAAACATTTTTTTAAGAGAGTATTTTTTGTTTTAAGAGAGATTTTTCTGTAGGGTGCATGCTCTCACTGGAGAGACAGAGAGAAACAGAGAGACGGAGAGTGAAAAATCATCCCCCGGGGGGATGGCCATGCAGCGATTCCTTATTTTCCATTCTCCTCTCAGGATTTTGAGCACACATGCAAACAGGCCCAGTCTGTTTTTCTCCACCAGGTCTGGGACTCAAACCACAGTCAACTACATGGGAGTCCAGTGACATAACCATTATGCTGTCCACTGGTCCCCACGTTAATTTTTTTACAGTTTAAGTACCAATAATCTTGGATCAAGTTGGTGGAAATCAACCATGGATAGCTATTATTTCAAAAGTTACCATATAAAATAGCACTGAAAATATTATGGCTGCTATTAAAAATGAATTATCAAGAATGAGAACAAGGGGGACCAGCAATTGGCGTAATGGCTATGTCGCTGGACTCCCACATAGTTGACAGCGGTTCGAGTCCCAGACCTGGTGGCTTGAACTCACGCCAGGCGCGTGTGCGTGCATGTCCAAAATCCCGAGAGGAGAATGGAGGAGAAGGGATTGTAGCATGACCATCCCCCCCGGGGGGTGATTTCTCACTTTTTGTCTCTCTGTCTCTCTGTGTCTGTCTGGCGAGCACACACGCCCCATAGCAAAAACCTCTCCAAAAAAAGTAAAAAAGAATGAGAACAAGGGAATACCTCCATCAAAACAACAGAGGTAAATGCTAAGCATAGAGAGAGTGTGTGGATAACTATTTATTGCAAAACCCACCAAATCAAAGCTATGTTAGATAAATGAGAAAAAGAAAGTTATGCTAAGGAGAATGTCTCCCTGTAGATCTTTTCCATAATATATGCATGACTTAGTATGGATACTGGAGAATTTTTCAGTAAAAGAGATTCTAAACTTTAGGGGCCATATAGCTTTTGTTGCAACTACTCTACTGTTACATCTGGAAAGCAGCCACAGATGATGTGTAAATGAATGAGAGTGGATATGTCCCAACAAAACTTCATTAACGGAACTAGATGGTAAGCCAGATTTGACCTGTAGACCAGTGGATCAACTTCTGATTATGTAGGTTTTATGCTAAGATATATTAGTCTTTAACCAAAGTCTCTGCAGTTTTTAATTCAAACAATTGTTTTCATACATATTATAGGGTCCAATCAAAAGGGAATGCATTTTAGGAAACTTTTGTATAGAATTACATGCCAGGCACTGACCATTGAGATGAAACCTTATTGTAATGCAATCTCATAGCATTTCATTTGGTTACTCATGGACTACTTAATATGTTTTTTTAACCATGTATTATTTCTATTTCTGTACATGACACCTATCTTCTACATAGAGCTAAGGCATATGCCTCAAAAGTATTAGCCAGTAAGTATTTGCTAAATGGATAATATATATGTATACACACACACACACACACACACATACATTTTTTCATAGTCCATTTTAAGAAAAGAAACCATTGGGAACCAGCAGTTAGCGTAATGGCTATGTCGCTGGACTCCCACGTAGTCGACCGCGGTTCGTGTCTCGGACCCGGTGGCTTAAAACTCACGCCGGGCGCGTGTGCATGCGTGCCCAAGATCCCAAGAGGAGAATGGAGGAGAAGGGATTGCGGCGTGACCATCCCCCCTGGGGGGTGATTTCTCGCTTTCTGTCTCTATGTCTCTCTCTGTCTGTCTGGCGAGCGCACGCGCCCTACAGTGAAAATCTCTCCAAAAAAAAAAAAAAAAAAGAAAAGAAACCATTTACAAACAAGCTTATATGGTGGACAAAATATCCTGAAAATTCCTATTTCCATAAAACAATAAAATTCTGAATAAAATATTTAAAACAATAACTTTTAAAGTATGTTTGCACTGGAGAAAATATACACAAAATCCTCCAAGAACATAAATAAAACAGGAGCAGTAATTCAGAAAAGTAACGTAGCTTTTAACCAGACACCTGTGCTAGAGACATATATGGGCTGAGGATCTGTAGTGAACAAGTTCTTGCACAGGTGTTGGAAAATAAAAAGTTAAGTAGCCACAAAACTAATTGGAAATAAAGTGTAGACAGCCAAACCAATAGTGGGAAAATATAAAACGAGAATAAAGTCAATCCAAAAGAAGATAAGAATTAAAATAAATAAACACATGAATAGAGACAAAGATGAATACTTAGAATGGCAGCATGAGATGATAGACGAATCTAATGCACCAGGAGTCACAACTGTAATGAGTTATAGCATTACTGAAAGGCAAAGATCACTGGGTTAAAATGTTTAATTCTAGCTAAATGAGGTTTGGAAAAGGCATCCCCAAAATACCAAGGCACAGAGTGTGTTACGTAAAAGAATAGTAAATAGATATTCCAG